ATATTTCTTTGGAATTTATCTATTTCTCTCTTTTTGGAAAATATTTTCTATTCACTTCAAATTGACTCAGTGCTACTAATTGAAATTTTACTTGTGAGGTAGATACTTTTGTAAGTGGTTGTGCTGGTCATTTATATTCTTAAGGGTGATATACCTTTAAGAGATAGAGCTTGGTTCTTGATATCAACCTTTATAAAATCTATGTTATTAGCTTATCACGCATCGTCTTAAAAAACTTTGTTTTGGTTATTCAGATTACCCATAAAGACCAAATTACATTCAAGAAATGATACCTGCACTTGTTACAAACAACAAACTTTACACAAAAACATTAGATACCCTAATTTGCCACTAGTCTCCCTCAACACTCAATATTTATAGATGAAGGTCCACAACAAAGGAAAATGACTAAGGATGAAGATGATGAACACTGCCAAGAAATCTCACAAACACTCTAATTTACAAGGTGGTAGTCAAGGTATTAGATGTATATGAAAGAAGAACACACGCATGCATACACACACACACGTGCGCACACACACATACACACACGTACACACATACACACGCATACACATAAACGCACACGAACACGTACATACACACATACACATGCAAATGCACAAGTACACACACACGCACACACACACATACACGGGGTTATCTCTGATTTATGGATGAATGGGTATTGGTTCTTGATTGATATCATAAGCTTGATGAATCATGAAAACTGTACTCTATTAATAAAATCTCTCTCTCTCTCTCTCTCTCTCTCTCTCTCATTCATTCAAACAACAAAAAGTTGCATAAGAAAAAAATGCAACAAAAATAAGTGAATCTGGCATGGATTAACACTCAAGAAGTTGTTCTAAAGAACAATAGAAAGATTGAAGGTGCAAGGAATAGACACACTAAATAAGAGAAAACAAATTGATATTTTATCATTATGGGTTTCACCAACATAGTTTCACACACTTGTTGTTGGATCAAGGAAACAACTATTTAAATATAAGATGGAAAATTGGATTTGTGAAGCTATGATTCAATTCAAGAAGAAATCGTGATTAAAATAACAAGATATTGAAATTCAAGTAAAGTTAAACTCTTGATTCGAGTCAATTTGAGCAGAGCCCAAAGTTTGCTTCATGGAGACATTTTATTCGAGTTAGGATTAGCAATTTATTTGAGTCATATGAGGTTATGATTCGAATCAGACTCATTTTGTGATTCAAATCTTTTCATCAAAAAGGAAAATCCCAATTTTTACAAGGTTCATAATTCGAATCACATTTAACACTTGATTCGAATCAAGCCACTCAACATCTTGATCTGAGAGTTCTAACTTGTGGTTCAACCACACCTTATGAGACAAAAAAATACCAATTTTCTAGGCTAAAAAGAAACACTATCATGGATCAAACGCTCTAATTTTATTGATTAATGAAGGGTCTTAATGGTACATGCTACAATAGTTGAAATAAATACAATACAACTCAAATAGGAATAAACTACAGACACACGAATATTGAATGATAAGAAAATTATAAGTAAGCGAACAACCTATAACATATACACTCAAGTTAACAAAAATATCAAAACAAGTAAACGATACCATATGATAATGTGACTGCACTTTCAATCCCTATTGTTTCAGTTATGTTTTACACTGGATCACGTCATGGAGGTTGGTCCATGATACTTAAGGCTTCCCACGGATCCTTCGATGTCCTGAAAACCCATGGGGGCAAGTATAAATTAGTCTGCACACTAAGAACTAAGTACAATCTCTAATCTCCACTTTTCATTACATTTATCTTGATCTTGAGTTAACTTGAACATTGGAGTGCTAACCATGTTGGTGCATCCCACGCTGCCGTAAAGGAGACCAGAGCCACTGTTCAAGATCATCAGTTTTCCAACTGCATCCTTTTTTTATTCTCAAACGATCACCGTTCAAGATCATCAGTTTTTCAACTGTATTCATTTATGATTTCCAAACGGAACATTAACATCCATCTCTGGTTTTAAAACGTTTATATATATATATATATATATATATATATATATATATATATATATATATATATATATATATATATATATATATATATATATATATATATATATATATATATATATATATATATATATATATATATATATATATATATATATATATATATATATATATATATATATATATATATATATATATATATATAAGCAATGAATTTTACCCGGATATTAGAAACAACCGTGAGGAATGTATAATCCATCCAATGTGAAAATGAGGAGATTTCCCCTTGGGTAACTAATTTTTCCGAGGGGAAAAGTAGATGTGAGATGTTGGATCAAACTCTAGTATGGTCGAAGTCTGTTCGCGAGTAATACCTGTTGTAGTCGAAGTTTGCTCTAACATGCATTAGTCAATATTGATAGGGTTGTTAGCATGTTGAATTGGGCCTTGCTTGTAAGCTCAATTGTTTAAGTTAGCTTGTGATGGGTAATTGTTAAAAAATCCATTAGGTTAGTGTACTATTTTTCTTATAAATAGGATGCTAGTTTTTTCAATCTTGAAATAAGGAAAAATAGGAAGATAAAATCCTAATTTCAAGAGAGAGGGGTTATTTTGTTATTCTTGTATACTTGTAATCTTGTTCTAAGAGAAAGGAAAGATTAGCAGTTTAATAATCAATCCTTATTGTTTTCTTCTTTATTAACCCTAATCCTTGTGTGTTTCTTGATCATTAAGAAACTGTTTATACTTAGTTTTAAAGTATCAGATTCACAACAGTAGAGTTTTTTTTTCTTCACCTAGACTAGTTGTCTAAGGAGACATGTGGCACACTTTTATTACACTTTTCCGTTACCCTGCCTACCAAACTAAAGTAAAAGAGTTTTTCAACCAAGGTAAAATCACATTTTCATAGTAGTGTTAATATAGTTCATCGTTTGGTTATTGAGTGTCCTGACATAAAAAAAAAGTCTTACGTGTTAAATCAATTTTAGTTAATAATGTGTAAAATCATAATTTGGTTAATGAGTGTCCAAACATAAAGTAGTCTTAAGTAGTATAATAAAATTGGTTAATGAAGGATAAAAGTTAATTAATATATTTTATAATTTGGTTAATGAATGTCCAGATATTAAAAATAGTATTGAACAGTAAAATAAAGTTATCTAGCTCAGTTGGTAGCTATACAAAAACATCAGATGAAAGAGCGCGAATTTAAAAACGTGACATTCCACTTGTTCACTTTTAAAATGGTGGATTTTAAGTATATTATTGGTTAATGAAGTAAATGTAGTTAATGAAGTGTAAAAAAAGTGTTTAATAACATCTATTTTCACGTTAATAAAGTGATGAAATGATCTCCTATTATGTCACCTTAATTGGTAGTTATACAGGAACATGAGATATAGGAGTACAGTTCAAACTTGTGACATCCTATTTATTCATTTTTAAAGGTGAAATTCTCATCACTAAACTATTTGATAAAAAAAATGATGAAATTGATTAATAAAAGGATTTTAAATTTGTAATACAAAATAAATGTTTATATAATATTTAAAATAAAAGTATTATAAATATTTTTTATTTTAAAATTATATATTTTTTAAAATACTGCTCATTGTATTTATACAATAAATACAATATTATATGTAAATATATATAATTATTTCCATTATTTGCATTTTGTATTATAATACAAAATAATAAATATAGGAGCTTTGTCTCTCTTATTTTACTTCATATCATTGATGTAACTATTTGAATTTATTTTTCACTTTCTTTCAATGAACATTGCAAACTTCTAGAATAGTAGCACCTTTATAAGCCTTGCAAACATAGTATGTAAAATTCTCATAATCCTGAAATTAACACAAACATTAAACTTAATTAGTATCTTGTCAATAATCTAGAAATTAATTAAATTAATTATATGTGTTTGAATTTAAAAAAAAAAATAGAGAAGAAAAGACAAACTTTTCCAATAGGTTGATTATTCACCACCACCCATGGCACAAAAGAAAGAGGTGGATTTAGTTTTGTTGTTTCCTTAATATATTTTTGTCCAAGCTGCATACAAATTTAAATTATTAAATTTGTAAAAAATAAATAAATGTAAAAAATAAAAAATAAAAAATAAAAATAAAAAGACCTCAGTTCCATTTCCTCCATCAAAGCAATTCATAATAGGCTTCAAAGACAAACCCAATTCATGGAAACAGTTTTGCCAGATCTTGTTCTTTCCCTCAATTGCCAGAAATTCAAAGCAGTAAATCAAACCATAATGTTTGTTCTGCATCATTAAATAAGCACTTTTAAATAAGCACTTTTTATATAAGCACTTTTTTATAAAAATCACTTTTTATCTAAGATTCAATAGAACTAGGAAAAATATAAGCACTGTTTATTTTATTTTTTGTGCTATTTTAATTGAAAATATTAATTAATACCAAATATTTCTTCAAATCTATAACCTTCTCAAAAATTATAAATAAACAATATCACATGAAAATGCAAATTTATACTTACCACAATAGGCCAAATATTAATGGCACATGATTCTAAGGAATTGAGCTCACATTCATCTGGTCCATTCTACAAAATTATGAATGTGAATATACAAATAAAATAAATAAATAACTAAATATTATATTAATTAAAACTTTGGAAATTATTTATTAAAAAAAAAGAAAAAGAAAAGAGATATTGAAACCTGGCATGATATAGAACTGTTGAGTGGATTAACATGAGAATTAGCCCAAGGGATTAATTGGAGATTAACAATGTCAATGAGATCATTGTTGAATATTTCTTCAAGATTCTTCACAATGAAAGTTGCACTAGGTTGGCTTAGACTTTCATAGTATAATGTTAAATTAACTTTGTGATCATCAAATTGTTTAATGTGTGAACTAGAAGAAGAAGAAGAAGAAGATTCATAGGTGAAAAATAAAAGAACTAATATTATTGATAGTTTTGGAGAAACCATTTTTTTTCAATCTTGTAAAAGTATAGAGACTTTTTATTGTGTCACTAGTGGTAATAAGGATGTGATATATATATATATATATATATATATATATATATATATATATATATATATATATATATATATATATATATATATATATATATATATATATATATATATATATATATATATATATATATATATATATATATATATATATATATATATATATATATATATATATATATATATTGGTAACTTATAATACTAAATATACTCTCTTTTCAGTCATTATCAATATTTATTATTTAGTCTTGAGTTATTTTTTGGTATTGACGTGTAAATTAAGATTTACTATATAAGTTTTAATTTACATTATATTAATGGCAAATTTTGTTTTTATATACTTTTCTTATCTTCATCATGTCACATGTTTCTCTCTTTTCTCTTGCCTCATTTCACTAACCATTTGTGTTCATATTTTCTATTTCTAGTTTCCTTTTTTCTTCACTATTTACAGTGGTGAAATTTCTTCACTAATATCATAACTCACGTAGACAAAAGTATTGATAATGGAGAAACAAATCAACAACTTCTATCATAATATTTAGTTTCAAATTGATTTTTGCATCTGAATCATAATAACTTCTTGTTGAAATTGATCTGCAAGTATTTAGTTTCAAATTTCCATTGTACACTTTGCAAATATATGCCACATTATAAACAAAACAAAAGGTATAAGAGGTTTTATATATATATCCAAACTTGCCAATATATTACAAAAGAATCATATAAAAAAAAAGGGAACAAGTTAACTCCAATATGAAGAGTATTTAAATAAAGATAAATCTAACATATTCTTTACAAAATCATTTTGAATCCCTAAAGGGATGGAATCAAAAAAGGTTAAATTGTTGGTGCCGAGTGCAAAATTCGCCAAAAAATCAACAAAAGTGTTACCTTCTCTATATATGTGAGTGGTGATTAAGTTAACCAAGTCGCGGTTGTAATACATTTTCGCCACCAAAGAGTAATATGTTTCAAGCCAAAGCTTAGTCCAACTCCGCAAATTAGCATTTTCCATGGATTTAATAGCAGCTTCAAATTCCGCATAAGCAGGAGAGTTGCGGTGAATTTTTTCCACAAATCTAAAATAAAGTTTCCAAGGTAATTTCTAAAAATTCCTCCACTACCGACCAAGAAAGTGTCACGGATAAAGGGACTGTCGCTTTTACATTTGATCCAATCCATGGAGGGAGGTTCCCAAAGAACTTGATGGAAGGAGCTTTAGGAGGATTAATACGAACATCAAAGGCTTTAATGATGGAGAAATCACACATATTGATAAATGAAGTTTTAGAGCGGGAAGCAAAACCTGATGGGAAATCCAACTTAAGTGGAATTTCAATGGAACAGTTGTCTTATCATGTTTTTTATCATTACAGAAACGCCAAATCAGAGGCAGAGAATTGATGAAAGCTGCTTGGAAGACCAAACCTGCTTGGGAAAAATTAAATTATTACAATGTTATAATTTAATTTGTGATCTATTAAAAAAAACCCTTTTAGATCGTTGTCCTCGTCTAACAATTGACTCTTTTTACTAATTTCCAATCTATGATTAGTGGCTTCACCCCTACTATTGAGAGGGATGTGTGGAGGTGATGGAGTTTATTCTGTGTCTTCTACTTACTCTCTTCTTCTGTTGGTCCATGTGTTTCTCCTAGGTCATCAGGTTTCTATAGTAGACTTAGTTATTCCGGCCATTTGGTGTAGTTGGGCTCCTTCTAAAGTCATAATTTTCTCTTGGCAGCTTCTTCAGGATCGTATCCTAACCATAGTTAACTTACTTAAGAGAGGTGTCCTTCTCACCTCTGGGACTATTTTGTGTTCCTTTTCCTCATTGCATATTGAGTCTTCCTTACATCTCTTTCTGACATGTGATATTGCATCCTTTGTTTGATATAAGATCTTTAGGTGGTTGGGTGGTGTTTTGTTTTACCCAGTCATATCTTGACTCCCTTTCAGATGTTTATCTCCTCGTCTGGTGTTTTTAGAACTAAAGGGAGGATGAGGATGATTTGACATATTGTGGTTTGGTCGATTTGGAAATCTCAGAATGATATATTTTTTCAAGATCTTCGGTGACACCAAAAGAAATGAATGACATGAGCATCTTCTTGGCTTGGAAATGGTATCTTGGTAGGTCAGTGGATAACTCATGTGCCTTCTCGGTCTAGCAAGAGAACCCTATCTTATTTCTAAACAAATAGGGTGAACGGTTTCGACCTCCATTGGATGTGTTCTTGTTCGTTTCTTTTGTGGTTTTTGTGGTTCTTCGGATGTCATTATATTAGATAGTTTTAGCCTATTCTTTTGTTGATTTTTTTGTTTTCTTTTATTTTTATAGTTTTGTTTGAGCATGGTTGGGGTTGGTTTTAGCTTGTTTCTTTTTCGTGTTCTTGTTGGTTTTGTTCCCGATTTTGGTACTACTTGTGCCTTCTTCCGGTATTCCCTTGTACTTTGGTTGTAATGCATCCCCTTTATTTTATTTATATAATATATTTTCCGTTTTCCTTTCAAAAAACATTCCTATAAATTAATTATAAATTATTTAAAACTTTATAGATTCGATTAAAAGCTTTTTTCCCCAGAATTTTGATTAAAAATTATTCCATAAATTTAGAAATCCAATTATAAAATTGTTTGATTTACGAAACTATTTTAACATAAACTAAATTATGTGTACACACAAAAAAGAGTAAAATGGAGAAACAAATCAACAAGTTTTATCATAATAGTTTATACTTCCACATGAAACAAATCAAAATCGCATTCTAACTTCATTTTCATAAGAATTGACACCTTAGTTTGTTGACTAGTAGCAAGTAAGGTTATATTTTTATTGGCTTCATCTACATAACAAACATGATGAAAAGAGTTTAGTTTTGCATCTGAATCACAATAACTTCTTGTTGAAATTGATCTACAAGCATCTGGTTTCAAATTTCCCTTGTATGTCTTGCAAATATATGCCACAAACTTAAGTAATCCTATAACCTAAACAAAAGGTATAAGAGATTAATTAAGGAACTAATTGGGAACAATTAAATTGTTATAATATTATAATTTTAATGATGGATTTAGATATTTAATCACAAATCTCTTTGAGTGCTTGGTTGCTAATTCTTGTTGAAATTATAACTTTATAGGGAATTAGGATACATCATGTAGTTTTCTACTATTTCATTACGAACAAAAGTTTATGTTGTGAATTACGACAAAATTCAATATCAATTTGTGAGGCAAAGAACAATAGCAACCAAAATAAATGGTCTTCAGCAATAATAATCCGTACATAAATAATATAACAGAATAAAGCAAGAAAAAACCGAAGGTTTATTTACTCAGTTCGACCAAACGAACTACTCTGAGGGAGAGAGCAGTTCTCCAATTCACTATACTCAGAAAGTTGTTACAAGAGATTAGAGATGAGTTATAAGAAAATAGTCTTCGTCTTCAGGTTTCCAAGAACAACCCTAAAGGTGCCCAAGAACAACCCTATTTTCTACCCAAGTGTTTCCCTATCTCTACAACTTTCAATATATGAATCACTCAAACTCAAGGTGTAATACAAGGTTTTTTTGTGCATAGCTGAAACCCTATACCTTTAAACCCTTTGTCTCCCTTGTTGGTGAAAACTCTAAGATTGTCACACACCAAACATATAAGAGATGCATCTTTTTATAATAGCAAATACCCAACAAACAAAGCCCAAAATCACATGGGTCCATGGACCGAATCGAAAAAAAGCCTGAAAATACTATTCACCATATGGACAACACTATTTCACCGTACATATGTCACTATTCATCCGTACGGACGACACTATTCACCTATCAATTTTTTTCCCGAAGTTTCGTCCGACTTTCTAAAACTTCTGATTTTTGCGTTAAATGCAATCTCCAAAATATATTTTTTTTCTCTTCATCAACAAAGGTTTTAAAGCACATTTACAACAATCTCCACCTTGACTTTAAACCGTGTTGAAACCAATTTAACAATCAACAACATTGCTGCTCTTTACCAAGTTGAAACTTTAATCAATAATTTTAATCAAATTCAAGCAACCCTTGAATCTTGATATCGAAACTTGAATCCACTTGTTCCCAATTACCCTTTTCTGCCTAGGTAATTTAACAAGCCTACAAGTAATTCTACAACTCAAATATGAAGATATGAACTTAGAAAATGAAGAATCATCAACTTCATCATACTCCTATTATACAACTCCGATAGAATCCTTTGAAAGAACATACTTAGTAGTTGAACGATCTTCGAAAGATTTAACATCAAATGAAGGAACCTCATGTTTGATAAAATATGAAGAAGATGAAGTATCAAACGAAGAATATGAGTTTTTTTTAAAGGCAACCTATGAGATAGATATTGTTCATATAACTAAATTACCTTATGGACAACTGTTTAGAATGGACGGTCATTTAGTTGAAGAAAATGATAAATTAAAAGAACATAACTTAGATCTCAAGGAGTCATTAAGATATATTAAAGAAATCAATAAGTCATTTAAGAGGGAAATAACTAAGATAAAAAATTCTAGAGAAGAATGTAAGAGATATGTCTCCCTAAAAAAGGAAGTTAATGATTTGCATCAAACTCTAGGTAAATTTACCCAAGGAAAAGAAGAGATTGACTTGATCTTATCAAGTCAAACACCTTCCTTAAATGAAAATGGACTAGGATTTAAAAAACAAAGATAACCTAGTAAATGCATAGACCACAAGAAAAAGAGTTGTTCATTCAGAGAACCTTTTTGTTTTGATAATTGAAAAGATTTAAAAGCAACAACCTTAGATCTTCTAGAACTAATGCACCTGGGTCCAAGAAGATGTGGGTACCAAAGGTGAAACCTTAGTGTTTTGAGTTATGCTTTATAGCTCGAAGCTTTAAATGATTGTTAGTGAAGATGAGCAAAGCAAGAGTTTACTTCCAAGTATA